AGAAAATGCTGTGAAGACCTGCAAGTCCTTGATGAAGAAAGTGAGAGCGGATGGGCAAGACCCTCTGTTAGCCCTACTTGACTGGTGCAACACCCCAACAGAGGGCCTAGGAACATCACCGGTACCGAGACTGATGGGACGCCGCACACGCACGTTCCTACCAACCCATGAAACGCTCCTGCAGCAGCCATCCCACCTGGACAGAGCCATCAAATTGGCTGAGCGGAAGGCAAAACAAGCTCAACAGTACAACAAAAAGTTTCGCCCTTTAGTGGCACTAAAGTGTGGACAGGCCATTAGGATGTGACTCCCTGGAAGGGACGAATAGAGTCTGGGGACCTGCACGAGAGCCTTGGGAAATAGGTCTTATGAAGTTGAAGTTTGCAGCAGGCGATACCGACGCAACCGTCGACAACTGTGCCTGACCCCTGGAACAGCACCACCTATGAGTCCCGTAGAGTAAAATCCGCCCGAGTCCACCCTCAAACCTGCGCCGAACCTGATTGAGCAGGGACCTCCACCACCGGAGTTCGATGTCGAAACCGAAGCAGAGAGAGGGTCACCTGACACTGAAATGGGAACGGAGATCGAGCCACAAAGGATTGAAACTCGCCGCTCAGAGCGCAGACGTCTACCACCTGTGTGGCATCAGGATTACCATATGAACTGAACATTGAACATTGAGCTGTTGATTGGATTTACTGAACATTGAATGATTAAGCCGCTGATTATTTGTCTTTTTGGTTTCAACCAAGGACAATATTTTTTACATTTTTTTTAAATTTTATGTGATTCTGAACAGTGATAGGAACATTAATTAGTAATTAATTATTTGAATGCCAACGCTATAAAAAGGGGAAGATGTCATGATATTGCGTTACATTGTCACTGCACGTTGCTCTGCACGTGCACCCTATCTATCAACCAATCCAGTGTAATCTTGTATGATTATATAACAACAGGCAACATGGAGCCGAGAGTGATAGACCCACGCGGTGCGACACGGAGGTTGTAGCAAGTACAAAAACAGACATTAAAAACCTATTCCTGTTCTTAGAATCGTGACAAGTGAACAAAATCTTACATCGAGTTGATAACCTCATATGTACAACCAAAAAATAGCAATCATCTTCGATCACATTTAGGGACTGAAACCCCCTCCCCATCCCCCCTTGTCCTCTGGCATGCATGAAACAAAAAGTATGTATTTATCAAGTCACCATGTCCAACTGATAGACATTCTATTTAAAGCTACCTTAAATTTGGATTTGAGTTGCTCTTCCCCCCGACCGTGTGTAGACAATTGTCGCATTGACATTAAAGTGCTCGGTACTCTCAATCATTTTTTCTTCTTCAGTAGACTCCTCCTCCTCTTCCGCTTCTTTGTACTCATTTCTCCAAAGCAGGGAAACAGCTTCCAGGGCACAACCACCCAAAAACATTTGATGAAAAACTTATTGGAAAACTTATAAAAGTTAAAGAAAGGGTGATAGAAAAAGAAGAAAGCCTTAAGGAAAAGTTAGAGAAGACATCAAATATGTTCCAACATGCCCCCCATGTGAATACAAAAACCAAAAAGCATTCTCAGAAAGAGAACCGAAGGAAAGGCGAAAGAAGGAAAGTTTCAAGAAAAGCTGCCAACATACAGAAAGTGCGAGAGTTTATTTCGACTGCTGCTGCATCTGAAGTAATTCAAATCCAAAACCTAAAATTGGAAGTTCTATCTACATTATCATTGTTTCAAGTAAATTATCTACAACGTATGTATCTCCTGTCCACTGAAGCTATAAACTTGATTAGTGAATATGTAGAAAGTTTTCCAAGAAAAGAAAACACTAACCTAGAACCAGATAATGCTCATATACATTCCCCAAAAGTAATGATAGCAACATTTCAGGTTAAAACATTTTTGTCCTCAGTATTGTCAGGCCGTTTTTTAAATGAGGAAACTTTCAAAGTTTGATTTTAAGTGACCCGACACGAGGAAACATCTCTCTTTCAAAAACGTAGTGTTCCGTGCGTTTTTGATTTTTGTTCCTTTAATTACTTTAGGAACAACCTAGGAACACACAATAAAGGAACTTTATTTGCACAATAGGAACAAAGGTCGGCAAATTTCGGAACAATCTGGTCTGTTAGCAGCAAATTGGAACACAAAGTTCCTTTTCATCATAGTCAAAAGGAACAACTGGTTCCTCTTTTATTCTTTCAGGAACAAAAGTTCCTCTTTCAACAGTTCCGATTTCCCTTCATGTTCCTTTCGAAGTGATTGGGTTTCTCGCTCTACACAGTAAGGAACAAATTGTTCCTATTTACTGGCATATCCACTGCTTTTCGGAACGCCTTGTTCCCTTTCGGTTCAAATTGTTCCTATTCATGCCCAACAGGAACGGAATTGTTCCTAATTGAGGTGTTTTTTTGTTCCCCAAGAAGAGTGTTATGTTCCGCTTATAAATGGGAACAGGTTCCGAATTTGTGACAAAGGAACTAGCATTCCATCTTGCGCAAAGTGTAAAAAGGAATAGGGAACAATAGTTCCTATTTATCGTAGGCTATCTGAAACTACTGTCCATCACCTCCGCTATACAAATTTGTCAAAACATATATCCTTCAACAATCAAGTTAAGTACGAGACTTGCCCGCTACATGCTTAATCTCGTTCGGGCTTGCCCGTGCAAGTTCAGGCTTGTGTCTTTGTTTCTTTTGATTAATTGTGTACCAAATACGGATAAGAAAACAATGGGACAAGGGGCAAGAATGACCAAGTGTGGGCAGAGATGGGCTAACAAATATCTCGTTGGCGAATAGGATGATCTCTTGGGCACCCTTTTGCTAGTATAAGTGCATGCATACTTTAGAAAGATATCAATTTCAAGCTAATGCTTAAGATGAACAAACGAGGCAAGCATGTCAACTGGTCAAAGTTAGCAAATGCATCGCCTAAACCAAAGAGACTTCACTTAGAAGAGGAGGACTGTGATGGTCTTTTTCACTGCCCAGTGCAAATTTGTAAGCACGATGGATTCACTACATAGAGGCTGTAGAAAACACGTAAAGAACAAACACAGTTGGTACTATTACTTCGACAAGAAGCCAGACAGTGCTCAAATCGATTCGCTTCATGTCGATCAAAACAACAACTGCGAAGCCAATGATCAGAAGATTACAACGCGTAAAAGAAGGGCAATTGCCTCCTTCGATCCTACAAACAAAATTGCCAAGACCTATTTTTCATGGCTAACTGGCAGTGGTGGGGGCTGTAAAAGTGATCGACAAGCACAACAGATCGTGAGCAAGTGCTTAAAGTTTCTCAAATTTTGTTGTGAGGACGAAGAGGAGCTCACATTTGACATTGTGGACTTTAGTTTATGTTCACCAAATCTCCTTTTCAAGTTTGTTGATACCATGCAGGATGATTGGAATCTGGGACACGCGGGACGCAAGGGCTACTTGGATGCCATTGCAGAATTGGTGGATTATCGAAAAGTGAATGGAGCATCAGAATCAGTGTTGAGGGGACTGGGTTCAACAGAAATTTACTTGAAAAAGGTGCGCAAAACCTTTTTCCAAAATGATGCACTTGCAGTGGACCAGCAAGCTGGACATCAATGCCTTAGAAGCCAAGGGGAACTGGGCCACACTAGAAGAACTGTTGGAAGTGGTGGGGCGCTACTTGCCGCGCTACGAGAGCGTGCTCAAATCATGCAAGGAGAAACCGGGTGCTGTTTTGCCAATAGATTTATCTTTTGCTACCAAATTTTTGGCCGTCTATTTATTTATCAAGGTCAAGGGCTCGCGCCACATGACATATCAGTACTTAACGGTGGAAATGCTGAATAAAGCCAAGACTAAGGGTGGATTTATAGACCAGAAAATGTTCAAAACGGCTGGAAAATTTGGCTTTGATTCTCTTTACCTGACTGAGACGAGCATGCAAGTGTTGGATGGCTACATCAACCACATTCGCCCCCTACTAAGACTGACCTGCGACTTTGTATTGGTCACAAGAAATGGAGGGCAGCACAATAAGCTGGGAGAGCTAATGAGTAAACTGGTCTTCAATGCAACGGGCAAATACGTTCACCCGACTCGCTATTGACAGATTGTGGAGACCGCGAGTTGCAGGCAGCTGAGCAGCAGCGCGTAGAGCACAATCTCCGAGGACCAGAAACATAGCTCTGTTGTTGCAAGGGTTCACTATCAGAAGCAGCAATCGCGCGAGGTGGCGAGCATAGCACATGAATATTTGAAATGATTGCACGGGAAAAAGGGATCAGACCTAGAAATAGACGTGCGCTCGAGGCTTTCAGGCAATTCTGCGTCATCTGAAGATCAAAATGGTAGCAAAACCGATACTTCCTCTAACGACGAGGGAGAAAAGATCACAGAAACACCACCCAAGCGTCTTTCAGGTGTCCCGAGACTAAAGCGAGAAAATGGGTTTATAGTGACAGATTTCCTGGCGAGAAAAAAGAGTTTGATGTTCACCCCCGAAGAAGACAATTATCTAAAAGCAGCCATTGAGCGACACGGCTACGGTCAATGGAAAGCGATTCTCAGGGATTCCGAATTTCATTTTCAAGAGGGAAGGACAGCCAACTCACAGCTGAGCCGTGCAGCGCGAAGATTCGGATCACTTTCTAAGTTATTCTAGAACTTTACATTGTGAGCGATACAGAATTTTGCGAGGAGCTCCGGAACACTGAACTCTAGTTACTTCATATAACTCGAAACTCTATTGCAAGATTAATATTAGGCAAGACATAGGAGAGGCATGCTTTCAAATATCAATTATTGTCACACAGATAAGTCACAGAACTGCTAACTTTATTCCTTGATTTCTGAACACGATTGATTGATTTGAATGATTTTCTGAATTTTTACCGTTGGCTGAGAGAAAAAAAGTGAGTTTTTCTTCTTCTCTTGGGCATGGGAGTACTTGTTGGGGGCTGACTTCGGCGTTTCTGATAGCTGCGTTTCGGAGCGGGTGAGAGGCTGTGGGCTCTGGGTGCTGTAGAGGGCATTATGAATAGCTGCTCCTCATCGTCGTCGTCGTCAGATCTAGTAACGTAGCTGAACGTGCACGGCGACTGCGTGCCATATTGTTCCAGGTTGTCTTGGGGCACGTAATTCGGCGTTCTGGGCTTTTCTTGCTCTAATACCTCTTCCATTTCTTCTCTCTGGCTCGAGCTCGGGACTGGCAGTGCTTCGAAGAGGGTTTTCACCATGTGTTGGTCTTCCTTTCTCAACAGTCCGAGCTCCACGCATACCTTTTTCCTCTCCGCAAGGGCTTCCTGGCATCCAAGAGTTCCTAAGTTGTTGTGGTGGTCCTTGAGCTTTTCTTCTAGGATTTCATGCAGGGCATCCATTGACTCTCTCATGTCAGGCGTAATACTTGATTTCAGGGTGACCATGCATTCGTTTATCTCCCTCTCTGTATTCCTCAACCATGGTGACTGGAGTGCTTCCCTTGCCCTCTTCTTCTTCTTCTCTTTTCGACCCGCCCTGGCTGTCATCTGTTCGTGAATGGCCAGATCATTTCTTATCGGTGTGGGAAGGGGCTCGTTTGGATCGTGGGGTAGCAAACGTACATTTTCTTCGGAGAAGCCCTTCTATCTGAGACGCTGTTGATGTCTCTCGTGCCGTTGTATCTCCCGCCGCATCCTCTCATCGTTTTGCTGTAAACGCTTTTCCAGTAAGAGGCTGAGGTGACGGTTATCCAAAGACCCCGGTAAAGTTTGTGCGAGCGAGTTCTTTAACGCGTGTGTGGTCTCATCGTCATCATCGGCATCCACGATTTGGTCCCCGTTATTGTCTCCTGCAGTGTCCTCTTTGTCTCGGGGATTTACGTGTAAATCAGCTAAGAGGTCGGTCAACTGCACATTTCTTAAAACCTCTTTCACGGTCTCCAGCAGTGCGCCTTCGTCGTTTGGTGTGTTTGTGTCTGCGTCTTCGTCGTCGTCATCAGAACTTTCTTCTTCATCTGTATCTACCCTCGCTTTCGATGCAGCCCACACAACACATTCCATAGGATGCTTGCGCAGCCACTGGGCGGCCTTCTTTTTCGGATTTGACAGGGTTTTGAGGAAGTAATACCTTGGCCTTCAGTCCATAGCCTGCTGATCTTCCTCCTTGAACTGGAGTTTTTGCTGTGCAGTCATGAACATGGGACATCGATTGAAAAATGACTTGGCCGTTTTGTACTTGACATCGCAGGCTGTGTATCCCCCTTGAGTGAGTATCTTCCAGTTGTCCACATCGAGAGTCGACGGAGTGGCCTCGTCAATGAATATCACCTCGGTGTTCTTGCCAATCATTGCCTTGTTGAACACTTTCTGCTTGGTTACAGTTGCTACGTTGCTGTGGTGAATCAGCCCCAGTATTGGGTAAAACAGGCTTGTCTTTCAGCTACTGGGCTCACCGACAAGGCATGGCACTCTCTCTTTGTGCTTCTTTTGGTTGAAATTCAGAAGTCTCAAGAAATCTTCGCAAAACAAACCAATCTCATTTTCTGTCAGGCTGTTTTCCAAAACGTCTTAGAAGTATTTAGGCTGCGGGTTTTTGGAAGGATCATAACACGAGAAAGCCCTGGGAGTCACAAGGCCCATTTTCTCTGCTGGAATTGCGTTGTTCAAGAACCGTCTTTCTGAGACAGACCAACATTTCCCTTCGTTCACCTCTATGAGGTTGTAGTCGACAACAATGGGACAAATTACTTGACAATCAGGGTCAGCCAGGATATCGATAACTTTTTTCATGTTCCTCAGCAGTCTTGCCTTAAATGACTCATTTGCAGCTAGACTGTTCACAAACGCCTTCACATCGCACTTGTAGGAGTAGGTGTAAGTGGTACCTTCACACTTTTTATAAACAGTGCCCCTGTAAAGGGCGTATTCCAGCCTCCTCATTGCAATCGAGATATCATTTATGACGACTGTAAGCTTGTCACCTAGTCACGGTTCCATGCTGTCACTTGTTCTTTCTTCTTGGGATTCTTGGCTGTTACCATCCAAGCCATAACGATCAATCACTAACTTCGCTCCCATCATTTTATCTATTGCTTCAGAAAGAATAGACTTAAACGAGGATTGGATGACGCGAACGCTGACTACGTTTTCCGTTCCACATTCCTCCACATCCATTGATTCAGAATCGCTAAAAAGCCCTTCCGCCACAGTCAGGAAAAAACACTGCTGGTAGGAAGCTGTTACTAAGTCCTGCATGAACTTGTTGTTGTGATCCTTTAATACTTTGAATAGCTCCTTCATCGCAATAGATTCTTTGCCTTGTCAACAGGGAACCTTCTTTTGAAAAAAAGAAATAGAAAGTTTGCTTGAGTGAAGTAAAATAAAAACAAAAACAAAGTTAAGGCTATACAACGCTTTATTTTGCTAAAACAAAATACTTTGACATGATGAGGAGCCAAGCATGAGAAAACAATTTCATTCGGAACCTTGTGAAAAATTTACCTTGATATATACTGCAAAGACTAACTGTAAAAAGACAGTATGTTAACTATTCTGCAGACTGTTAGTAATAGTTTAGACTAGGGCGGGGCTAGACATATTTTTGCATCCAGCAGGGATACAATTATACTTAAATAAAATCCTACAAATGAACAATCCTAGAAGTATTCCCTGTAAAACTCCTATAATAATAATAATAATAATAATTTAAAATTTATAACGCGCCTTTTCCATGCAAATATGATCAAAAGCGCGTGACAACACGTAAATGTTAAAAGAAAATAAAAACTAAAATGAGCAAAATAATTAAGGCTAAGAATAAACAACGCTAAAAAATTAAAAAAAAAACACTAAATATATTACATAGTAGCTAAAAAAATTACATATCAAAAGCTAGTCTAAAAAGATGCGTTTTTAGTAAAGATTTAAAACGTTCAAAATTATCCTCAAGACGGATGTGAAGGGGCAGATTGTTCCATAAATTAGGGGCAGCAGATGAAAAAGCACGATCCCCTAAAGTCTTTTCCAGTTTTAAACTAGGATACTTTAAGATAAGACCGCTAGCTGAACGGAGATTATAGTGCGGCTGTTCTTTGATAGCAATCAAATTGATCAAGTAACCAGGTGCATGACCGTAGATAGCTTTAAAAGTAAAAAGAAGTATTTTAAAATCAATACGAAATTTGACAGGAAGCCAATGTAACGCACATAGTACTGGTGTTATGTGACTGTAGCGAGGGACATTAGATATAAGTCGAGCAGCTGCATTCTGCAA